ATTCAAAGTGTAAAAATGTCTAGTACTTTGAATGCTTTAGAAAAGTATTCGAGATAAAGATGTATGAAACTACTGAAAATTACTTTAGATTCTTTTTCCTTATTCTGTAAATTCTTTGATTGGAATATGAATGCTGCTGGCAGTATGAACATTTTCACAGGACAATGATATAAATGGAACATCAAAACTTTTTTAAGTGTTCACAGTGATATTTCGTTACATGTTCCATAATGTCAATAGATTTCCCCGCAACATCCATAATTATTACAAATGTCAATATAACGAAATATCTTTTATGCGATGTTTGTGGTGTCATAAAAATCTGTGTTTCGATTACGTTTTTGATACGTATTACTTACTTATATGTAATAATATAGAATAAAAATATACTGTTAGTCCGATATTTGAAAATATACATGCGTTCGTTGTCACTGTTGAACTATTGTAATAACAGTAGAATAATAAAATAATTTAGTCAAATGTACATAATAATACATATACATATTCATAAAAACAATATTAAACGCAATAACTTGTTTGTGCGCAAAAAAAAACCAGACTAGTTAAGCTCGAATGGATTTAACGTAGTTCACAAATTCACCGTTCTCATAAGGTAAAGGGCAGCAGAAATCCCTGACTTTTTACACTATCGGTATTTCAGAACATGAGACACGAAGTCCCATAAAATGTTAAGTCTATCCTATACCTAGTCGGTGCCTACCTTGTCGTAATGAAGTATTTATTAATATACGTAATATATTCGGAGCGTAATTTTGTTTAACTACACTACAAACGAATTAATTAAGAAGTTGTAACCAATTATATAGTTAGATTTATTATCGTAAATATGATAGTCCTTCGAAAGTTTCTTCTAGTTCCTCCTGTAGTCCAAAAACGGCCAACGTAAGAATTGCTGCATTTCGACCCCACGATCCACGAACCGCATACGTCTCTATTGCTGTAAACTTTGTTTCCTTTTCAAGATATTTCAAATGCTTGTGGTCATATCCTTCCAAGATTATTATTGCTTGTCTGTATAATATTGTATGTATTTTACAAGTTCTCCCATTGTTTACGTAAGATTGCGCAAAAAAGAAACATCATAATGAAACTTCAAATATACACGAACATAAACATAGGAATAGTACTAATTCATGATTTACCCTTTATTTAACCAAAATTCAAGATACTCAGATTTTACTTGATCAGAATCCAATATCATAAAAAGTGCCAATAAACCTTTTGCTATCTAAAATTAATGACTGGATCACAAGAAATCCTATAATTGTGTCCTACTATTATCCTTACTAATGCTGCTGCTGTTCCTTGATTCATATGTAGGTCAGTATTAAGAATTGAGTAAAATACGTACTCCGATGGTCCAACAAAAGATACAAGACCAGTACGGAAATTTTTAGAGTTTTTAGATGATTGACTTTTTTGTTTTTTACTTATTTTACCATCCTTTCTGCAATTTAATTATAGCATGTATGGACGTTTATTATATTTTACATTTGAATTTTAAATAAACGTTTTATCATGCTATATGTTATACAAATATTGTATATAATCTAGTCGCTGATTATAGATTGCTATCGATACTCTTGCTTGTACCTGATTTTAGATCTTTGGTTGTTTTTATTACGATATTTCATTCTAGGACAAACGCCTTGAACTTGAAAGATGTGAACTAAAAACTATTTCTTCCTACATTTCAATGTCAGTTCTTGCCGTTAACTAAATAAATACAAGAAGATTTTTAATACAAAATGCGAAGTACATATTCACATTTCCTCGATCGAATTGTAAAATACAATATCCAAGGAGCAAGATGAGTATTTCTTCGTGTAGTGACATATTCGTTACAAAATATATTAATATCATCAATAATGTGTACGTCAATGCAATAAATCGCAGTTATTGTTTAAGACTATATTACTTCGTAAAAGTTTGCAAAAACATTTATGTAATTGAAATGAATCCATATCGAACCTGGACATTGGCGATGTTCGTCGTCGGTCGTTTACAGCATAAAGAAGAAAACTGTTTAATCATCTGCCACATACTTTTTTCACTTTTTCAAGCATGCTTCAGTTTCTTTACGGGCATCATTATTTCCCTTTGCATTAATTTATCTGTAGCATTTACGACGTAATATGTTTACCGTATAAAGTCTGAGAGAAAACGTTTTATCTGCCGTTATCGACTTAACTGAAATTATGTTCGGAATGTAGATATTGTAAACTCGCAAACAGAATCTATCGATATTTCGAGTCGCCGGCAATTTCAGGGTAACAGTGTAGTGTTTGGTACGTTTAGGTTAGAATAGTTATTTTCATAATTCAAAATATTCGGGGAAAATCTAAATGTCATGCGATTAATACGGTATTTTTCGATGCTGATAGCGATTAGTGTTCGAATGTGACTTTGTTGAAGAGAACTAAATTTTTTCGTGAGAAAACAGTGTATGTTACGAAGTGAAGATTGTCAAAATATCTACCAACTGTTCTGTCAAATGATTTTTATACGACTTTGATAAGAAAAGACAAAAATAAGTGCTGACTAGAAGAAGATCTACGAAATATATCGTACAGTGAAAATGGCTGCAAATGAACCAGGTGTATCATCATATACCAGAGAAGATAACAACAATTGGAGAAAAAATTTGATTTTCCAACTTCAAGAAAGAAATAGAAGACAAACATATTGTTTTGCGGATCTCATTAGTTTACGTAAGATTTCATAATTTATATGTCTCAATATAATTACTTGTATAAGCGTAACTAGTCTAATTAGAAACTTGTACTAAATTTATACCACTAATCTGGGTACATATTATGTTTCTTTCAAATTACAGATAACAGATTATTTGATAGTGCAAACACATTGCGTGGAGAAAACATTCAACTAACCATAGCGAATGAAACTCTTCGACGTAATGCATCCAGTGGAACTCCTCTATTAGGTGCCAATGCTGATTTAGAATCTCGTCTTCTGAAACAGGCAGAAGAACTAGCAACATTACATAAAAGGAAAGGAGAGCATACACAGCAAATAGTAGATCTTAACAATAAATTACAAGAAATGACAAAGGAGCTTCAATCCAAGGAAGCCAGGTACATATTTTCCTATATTTCTGAAACATTAGAACCAATTATATTTTTCTTAATTTTTACATAAAAAATTTCAGTACATTATTATACATATTGTGTTACTATAATTTACAGTCTCTTTGAAAGCGTGGAGCTCAATGCCAATTTACGTTTAGAAATAACTAAATGCCTTAACAGAGAAAAGGAGTTAGAAGGTATTAATCAAATGCTAAAAGATGAACATCAGGCCCTACAACTTGCTTTTGCATCTTTAGAGGAAAAACTTAGGAAAGCACAGGTATTTATTGTTCATCACAGTTTACTTGAGTATAACTTTGGTTAATTTAATTTGCGACATTAAGTTGTCTGACTATACCAAGTTATGATGTTATAAATTAACAAGTTACAACTATTTTTAGGAAGAGAATCGTCAATTAGTAGAACGTTTAATTAAGTACAAAACTCGAGATGCGGAAAAAGTGAATGAAGAGAATGACAACTTTTTGAAGTGAGTATATATACATGTTTATTTATTTTTGTAGTTTTTTACTAATATGTCTGTTTTGACTGATGACTTTTTGTTTACGCAAATTCCTATATAATGGTTGTAAATAATACTACGATATTTTCATTTTTTTGTGCACATTTAATGTTATTGGATAAATACACTAGTTATTATTTGTTGAAGCGAAGAGTAGTTAGAATATATATTTTCACACACAATACATTACATTCATTATTAATTCTTTTAATGAACAATTTTCAATCATTTTTATTTTATGTATACATGAAAGAAGGTTACTTTTATTTTATTCTTTTTTTTTCTTGTTACATATTCGTTATAAATGTACTTTTTATACATATTTCTTATATTTGTTTTTAATTTTCATTCATTGTTTATGTTGACGTATAAACTTTTCATTAATTTCCTAGTGAAAAATTAATTTCATTCGACTATATATACATTATCTAATTTAATTAAAACAACATTAACCTTTTGAGTAAGCAGTATTACTACATACATCATGTAAATACACGAGAAGCAATGTTTTCAAGCTATACCTTGTACACGTTTTGCTTATTCAGATCGAAGTGGTTTAGATGCTACGATAAAATGTCTAATGATGAAACTGATCGAGAATGTAAATATTATGATACATCTTCGTCCCTGAGAAATCGAACCGTTTTTGACATGATATTAGGAATGTTGTTCCATAATTTGTATTTATAGAAACAGATTTTTATTCAAATGTTTGTTTCATTTTTTGAGCTTAAATGGCCGTGACAGTAATACTTAATTACGTGGCAGATTATATTATCTCGAAATATTTATAGACTTCAACTCTGTCCTGTGATACAGTGTTTAATAAATCTAGCTGTTTAATTTTTTTATTAAAAAATGAAAAAAGTTTCATTACTATATTTTAAACAGTTCCACTTCAAATTAGCGATATATAATTATATACAATTGAATCATGAATCTGCATCATTCCTCTACAGAATACATCGTAGTAATAAATACTGTTTATGAATATTGTAGGAAGGAATTGAAAATTGCATGATTAACCGCCGAGCTAAAATTATCGTCATTTGTATATCACGATTTATTGTGCACTTGATATATTACCGATAAGGAGAATGTATATATGTATATGTATAACATATACTTGCGATATACTCACACGATAATCACAATACGAAAATTCAAATTTGTTTGATCTAAAAATAGGATACCGGTTGATTAAGCTTGATTGAATTTAACTGAAGGATAAGGAGACGCATTTTTATTTCAGACTATATACAGTGAAAACTCATGAAATTGCGAAATTTAATCTTGTGAAAGAGGTCAAAGTGACCATTAAGAATTTCAATGCAAATAGGCTGTAAAATTGTAAACGAAGTTGAAGACACCTTCCAGTACCTTACTATGAAGTAATTCAGAATTTTACTTAAATTATACCACTTCTAATTATATACTTCAACAATAGTACTTGAAAAATTAACAAAAACGATTAATTACACTATTTAGATATCATTACTTCATTGTCTCAGTATTTAATAAAAGAGTAGGAATATTTAAAAATTTTAAAGTTACCTTTTTTCCATTGTATTTTATTCGTTACAACATTAAGGGTTTTAGGTAGATATAATATTTAAAAATTATTATAGTGTCAGAGATAACTGATGATTACTAGTTGTAGTGGTTTTATCGGATGTAATTCCGAAAAGGTCCACCTTTCCATTTTGATGAAACTTGGTAAAATTGAAAGATTGACCTTTTTCGGAATTGCAGCCGTTTTGTAAAGTCTACGTATTAACATACTTATTAGTACGAGTGGTTTTATCAATTCTACGTCACTTAGATGTTGTTTCTCCATAAAGTAAAAAACTGTGACGTTAATTGTAGTGTTATCTCTTGTTTTTAACAAAAGTTAGAATTTAGTAACAATGTTTACACACTATATATGTTATTAAATAATTTCCCAAATTTTATCATTTTTACGTTATTACTAATCCGATTGATTGAGAACTATTCTAACTATCATATTCATTTTAATAATTAAGAATAACTTATTTATATTATTGGTATCATTTTATCTACTTTATATTTTTTTCTGCAAATGTTAATATGTGTATATATAAATTTTCTTCTGTTTTAATAATAAATGGATTAAACAAAAGCTACAGATACACCAAAGAATTAAAAAATACGTGATTTCATGGTTCATTATCATTACATATTCATATAATTAAATTTTGTGTATCACAGTATTGGACGCTTACTAGAAGTTTTTAGACGCAACACACACCAGTAATAAATGTTTCAACGATATATTTCTCAGCAATCCTTAATACTATTCATAAAAAAATATTAAGCTTTTCGCAGAAAGAAAGAGAAGGAGACATCAGATTCTGTCGCTGTAGGGTTTTTCTACGCTAGCACAACACACTGCTTGACATTTTCGTTTCAGTGAGAGTTTTTCCAGCCCGACAGCCTTTTTGATGCATACCTTGTCAAAATTCGGGTAAGTCTGAGCAAGAGACGTGATAAAAATTACGCTTAATGCACCATTTTGTAGCTTTGAGCGGTTTGCTAAAGGAACCTGATCATATATTTACACATCTCATTTATTTACGTTTGGTGTAAAGAAACATGACACATGTATTATTGTATAACGAATTAATATTTGTTCAAGTATTATCCATCAGGAAGCTTATAAGGCAGTTGTGCTTATTATAAAACGCGTACAGAGTGTTAAAAGATACTATTCAGGATTTAGAGTACAGATAATACTCATTAATTTGAGGAAAAGAATGTATTTCGTTATTAATGCTCGAAATATCAATATTGTTAGACATGGAAGCCATTTTTGTTCTTGATAGTACAGTTGACATCTTGTTTTATCATATATCCTACAAAAATACAAAAATTATTATATGTCGAGTTTCATGTTTATTTAATATTAGGTGCACTAATAATGAATCCACTGTTTTTTTTTTCAAATGAAATGAGAATATAGTTTGAATTCAGTAGATCTTTTTACGCTTAAGTTTGATAAAAATGGCGCAGAATGTTACAGTGAAAAGAAAAATAATTGATTCCTCATTAATGTATCTAACATACCTAGTGACTAGTGTTTCCAAATTCAAAAATAGCATCCATTTTCGAAAATACTAATATTTCGACTTACGTCTGTTCAGCACGTTCTGTTCAATTTAATGAATACTATCCATCATTGAACTCCTGAATCCTTCTATTTAACACGCTGTCTCCATTACTGGAAAAACATTGCCGGTTGAACACGTGACCGAAACGATTGTCAAGCAATCGGATAAATATATAACTAATGCAATTGAACGTTGACGTTACAACCAAAACTATTAATGAGTAACAAGAACGAAGAAACGGTTTCACTAATAGTATTATATTTGCATGATATTATAACAATTGGATGATTCGTTCACAGACACACGGTGTTTTTCGACGTTTTATTTGGGGTATTTATACGCAACGTCGTTCGGATGATGTTAATGCTTCCCACGACGTTAACGTTGGCCGTGTTTGTTCGTTTTCCAGAAAGAGGCAGGCAAAGATGCAAAAGGAGTTGGAGGACGCGGCACGCGACACACAACCCGTTAGTCCGGATCGTTCGAGTTTAAAAGAAGGAATCGCTGGTCTTCCTACCGCTGTACCGACAAAAGTGTCCGTTACGTTTGTACGTTGACAAACCTTTAATTTATGAAATAATTTATCCGTATCATGCTCTCGTACGTGAAAATTCCAGTACAAAATCGTCCACTTGATTCGTTGTTAACACGGAACTGCATGTTTTGTACAACGATATATACGATGTAACTGTTGAACGATGAGACAAACGTGGCGCGTGGCAACCGATCGAATTTTTCGATCGCAAACAGATTTACGGTGACTTGACGCGAGGCTCTCTTTTTGTGTTCCACGAGTAGTGTTGGTAGTATTAGACAGTACTTTCGGGTGGAGAAAGTAAAGTCACGAGAAGCAGGAATAGATTTATAGTAAATTTAATTTACGTAAGAATCGTGAGAGTAATTTACGTAAGATTTCATGTCGTTTTGATACGTCACTGTTCCCATATCTACGAAGATGTCTACGAGGAAATTGTTACTTCTATATAGATCACAGTCAATTAAACTTTTTCCACAGGATGACAAAATTATTATTACGTAGATCGTAATTATTTATTTTATTTAAGGAGACGCTGAGTATGATACTTGTGTTACAGTATATCTTTCGATCATGTACTTAATTACTTTTAAAAAGGTAAGATCTTGTGATGTAATAGTCAGCAATTAGTATAACGTTGGTATTAAATTACTCTGTTCGTTATTCGTCTTTGAACGAACAAGTAATATTCCTGGGTGAAAAGATTAGATTGACTGACGTGTACTATTTATTTTATTGAACTGCAGGGCAACGGAAGTATACGTAAAAGTTATATACAGAAATATAATATATACAAATTATACACGAATTTATTGATATACTTTTTGGACGACAATGGAGAAGTTTTTTATAAACATTAATGTAGTTTTTTAGCGAAAATTGTATTTATTATATTAAAGTATTTACATCAGGATACTGTCTTCTGGTTTAAGTTAATGTTTTGTACTTACAAGGGCAGACTGTTTGATGGAAGTATCTATAGTGATCGAGTGCTTATTATTATTTTTTGACGAATCTCACTTTTCTTCTAGGTGCATGTCACGTTGTTGAAGTACTTCTGTACGCGTTATTGTATTGATCTGTGCTTTAGTATTATTTTATCTATATGATCTATATCACTCGTTATATTCAAGTTGAATATATATAAGAGTATCGTATTGTTTGTAATATGTGAAGTTTAATATACAATTAAAGTGTCACTTTAGCTTAAGTATATTTGTTCTGTGTTTACAATTATATTAATGTATTGATATATATATATAAACAGTTTAGACAGATATTTTGGGTTTCTATGTCACTTAAAATCTAGAGACAAATAATATAAGAATAGAAATATATTTTTTTATATGTTACATGTATAATTTACAGACACTTAAATGTAGTTTTGTAGTGAAATTCACATTAACATAGTCACGATTCAAAGAATATACACACAGTATCACATGATTAGCCGTACAATTTGAACGGGGAATTGCTGCATAAAAAATGAAGTTCAAATATAGAATAACATTTCTTGATATGTCATGTAAAATTAGTCGAGTAACTTCTTACCGTGTCTGACCACTACTGATACTTTCTACTCGTACTAAACATTGATGATGGTGCGGTATTAAGTATTTTTCCTTCATCTTATTCTCATTGAACTCTCAGTTACATGAAATTACTTGGAAAAACAGGTAATGCCACGCCATCGTCTATATTTATAAACGTTAACTAAAGTGAAAGTAAACAGTACTGAATAGACACATTATTTATGTGGTGTAATACGTGTACTTCATGAGTTTACCACATCAATTTACTCGAAACTGAAGCCACGTGTTCAAAAATTATTATTCTATTTTTTCGACCTATTTTTTTCATGAAGACACACCTCCTTTCAGGTTGTAGCGTCATTTCGATGACACCTTGAACAAACTTTTACATCCTTTATCTACGTGAAATATTTAATCCGAACAAACAGTAGTCGATTTATAGCGTACATGGTATCAGAAGCTAGTGTCCGGTAAAGAGGAAAATATTTCTGTCATTAAAGTATTCCACGTAGTATACATTACTATAATCACGGTCAGTAATGCTTAGTGCATGAAAATTCCGGGCTGTATAAATTTATCGCAACGTTTAAGACCGCACATTATCTGAATGATTATAACTACGTATCACGTTTAATCTATTCGGTGGTTTTGTCATTGACTCGTAAAGTTTTCAAAAAATATCCCCCTCCCCCGTATCTTTAGGTGTCGAAGCTATAAACAAGATCGCATAACGTAACATTCATAACAATACTATGTGATGATGGAATATTATTCAAAGTATAAAATACGAATCTTACAAAATGAAAGGAAAGTAGTTGCAAGCGTAGACCCTTTGAATATTTAATTCTCTTTTCCGTTCGAAAGTTCTAACGTAACTCCAGGTATAATTTTCATCCGATCCGCCCATGATACATTAACAGTTGCTTCCTGCATGCACGAGTTTTTCAAAGTTTATACGTCAAGCGTTTAATAACCCTTGCAGAACGCACACGACGGGGAAGTTTATGCCGTAAAGTGGTCTCCCGTCGAGAGGATCCTCGCAACCGGAGGGGCTGACAGGAAGGTGAAGCTGTGGAACATTACAAAAGGTGATTAATTCAAACAAAATCGTACCATTAAAATCGTTGACCTAGGGATTGCAATACTAGCGTGACGGTACACGTGTGTCTGTGTGTGTCGGATACACACGCAATTAATCAACGATACCTCGAACGCGACCCCTATTACGGTAGTATTGCGTGCCAGCGGCCGACATCCCCCGAGTCTGTAATCTATTTAGTCCCATCGTTATTATTCACATTCGTAACTGGCTGCAATAGAACGAGTAAATTATTACACGCCTGCCAGTTTAGCCACGATTCGTCGCGAATCATCTGTTAAATTCGTGGTTCCTTATTATTAATAAAAAAACTAAAACGTAACCGTAAGATAACAGTCAGAGGACTAGGAATTGTATCGTAAGAGTAATTGCAACAATCGTTTACCGATTTACAGCTTTAATATTTATCGACGGTAATTCAATGGAAAATAACTTCCTTCCGTTTAACAGGACTAGGCCGGGCAATAAAGTGGTATGAAAGTCAGTTTGAAACTTCATTAAAACTTACCATAATGAAGTAATTAAAACTTTGTTATCATCCCCCGCCTCTCCGTTCATGAATACAAATACGTGCTAGACAGCTAGTTTTATTTCAGGTGGATAGAAGGATTTACGCGGGATCGTCGACGAAATCGTGTCGTGGCTAGGATCGGCCAGTTCGTTGATGAACGTTATGTCAGGGATAGTAATGTTAAATCGTGTCTGCTCTAACCGTACGTTCAATCTGTTTGAATCTGATTATGTTCCCCTTAGGGTACGTTGGGTTATAGCAGCCTGCGTAGAAAGTGACTGAAGTCATTTAACAGTCGCGATACATCGTTAGCGGTGTGTCAGCCGGCGCGTATCGTGACATTCTCACGAAAGGCTCTTTTCCACCCACTTAATGAAGTATGTTAACGAATCAACAGGTTACTCGGTGCAATCCCGCGTGCCGTCGGTGTATAGGTCGGGGAATAGAGGCGCGTCTATTAAAACCCAGCATGCTGGTAGAAACATTTTCTCCACTATGGCGGAACGATCGCTCGAGCTATAACGTGCTTGAATGTAATCCCCGTCTCCCTCGCCACGTTGCAAATTGGATGAAACATCCGTCCTTATTGTACGTGCTATATCCGCTTAACATGGCCCTTCCACGTCTCCTCGCGCGTTCTCCCTAGATCTTTTCCCCATTCTCGACACTCGTCCACGTATTGTCTTTCCCCCCCGTTATCTACATCTACATTTGCATTCGATCCTCCTTTTTCTCCGTTTCGTGCCGTCGGATGGTACACCTAAGATGAACGGAATTTAATTAGTTTCGATAATATGGTGGAAGGAAGATGTGCGTGAAAAATGAAAATGGAATAGGGGTTTAAGTTAGGTTTGAGGAGATACGAAGTGGAATACAGGAGTTTGAGGTGACAGAGTTTTGAAATTACTGAATTATTCATTGTGGGTATGTTGTTTCATTCGAAACATTTCGTTCCAGATGTTTCAGAGGGTAAAGGAATCCTCGTCGGAAGTAACGCTGGAGTGATGTCGGTCGATTTCGATTCAACGGGGACGCTGATACTTGGAGCATCCAACGATTATGCCAGCCGGGTGTGGACTGTCAGCGATCTTCGTCTAAAGGTAAGTGACAACTTTGCATGTTTGTTTGTTTTGTAAGAAATATTCGGTCGTTGGGAAAGTTCGTAGCGTTTCGAGCATAGTGTGTTAGGGCAAACGACAAATTTATGGCAGGGTGACTATGATTAAGTGGTGTGTAACTGGTACAATTAAATTAATTGAAAAATTAGAAGAAATTCTAAAGAAATTAGGAAATAAGAATATGATGTGAATTGAAAAATATAGATTGTAATTCGAAGGCAGTTGATAATTTCGAAATTTAAGTAACTCTACTCAGGCCACAGTTTCGAACGATAAATAACTTCGGATCAGATTTAAATCGATCGATTGTCCAATTGTTAAATAAAATAAATGATTAGGTACTCGTTTATTATGTAACTTACAAAGTTTGTTTTATCCAATCGATTGTATGTACAAGGTTTGTTCCTTTATAAACACGTAAGAAAAGACTCTAAGTTTATAGGGTTTGGGTAATATTATTAAACGAATTAACCCTTTCTGTCCGGAATTATTTATTATGACCCATAATTAATTGATTCTGCTATTTAGAATCTTAAGGCTAATAGTATGAATTACAAACACTAACGAAATTAATGATTCCAATGGTATCACACGAGCAGAAAGGGTTAGCTTGATTATAGTGATTTATTTGTGCTAATACATTAGATGTCATGAAGGTACTATTTATGTACATGAAAAATCATATATTCAATTACTTTTTTGCTTTTGTCGTCAGAATCAGAAGTATACATATAATGTAAATGGTTGAATCTGTTCTCTCAATTTTTCCACGAAACAAACTGAATTAAATAAAATCTGAACTCGACGATTCAATAATATAAAATGTTCTTTCATTTAGAAGTCCGGTATGTAATAATCCACTTATGAAATACAAAACCATTGTAAAAATGGATGAAGTGGACAATGCAAATTATTATGTGGCGTAATTAAATTATAAATATACAATGGTTAAGGGATAGAGTATGGAAAGCGCGTAATATCACTCCTTTTTTAATTTGGGTAACTTAATTTTATATTGCAATCGTAACATCCATCGCACGTAAGAAAGTGCCTCATACATCTTTCAAAACTAGCCTACAAACCTACGTATGCCTGGAACTTTTCTAAAAATCACCTTATGCACAACAAAAAGCATCACTAAATTCTAAAGATCCTTTCCATACCATTCTGATCCAATCACAGTACAAGGCTTAAGTTTGCCAAAAAAATATGTAAAGTTCCATACCAAAGAACACGATCGTATTATCATCCGGAAATTCATTTTCTCGAACATTTATGTCTCGCCATTTGTTCGGGTAATGGAGGTTTCATCGTGCACAGTACATTGAGCAAAGGAGAATCGAAAGAAAGAAACAGAGAGAGAGAGAAAAAAAAAAAGGAGTTACATCAGGAAGGAAGCAAGCAACCGAGAAAGTACGGTAACGAGGCGTACTTATTTTCCGTCATGAAAATATGATTGGCTCCGCGGACACGTCGTAGGAAGTGTATAAACAGATGCCTCGTAAAACGCGCATTAAATTACAGGGATCATTCCGAGGCGAGGCGATCTGCGAATTTAGCAGCACTAGAATATGAAATTTATCGTCACCTTCTTCCACGACCTATTACTGGATGGTCCGTGTAAATCTGCCGGCAGGATCATAAACCTAATGACGATTCGCAAGAAGCTACTACCCTCAGGTCCAGGAGGATCGTACCGTGAAATCACTCGTCGAGGATATTTACGTCACCTTCGGCCGCTTTGGAACGCGGGGGAGGGCCCTCGACGTTTTCTAGTTCCGTGATCTTCGACGGAAGAATAATACTGTCTCCTTTGGTCGTTGATATCGATATTCTCTCATCTAAAGTTTGTCCCAGTTTCGTTCACCGTCGTCGCCGCCCGGCACTCGATATCGCGAGGGAAACAGAAAAGTTTCGCGGTTGTCTTCCTCGTAGTCCCGTCTCTATTTCTCTTTTGTGTTTCTTTCCGAAGAATACCCTGCGTTCAAAGCGAAAAAGTCATCGGAAGAATAATTTTTTTTTTCCTCCACGGATACACCCGACGAACCGTCACCATCGTCCGAATATGAATTTAAGAAGCGGCTGCCGGGGCGTGTTGCGTGTGAAAGTGTAATCAACGGATGATCGATTGCTTCCAGGTCTTGACCGTTATTCTTAGTCGGTACATTTACACCTCGTTATTCCGAGATCAAAAACGAGATCAAAACAGCCCACGGTGGCCCAGCGGTAACGCGATAAAGCAACACCCCCCTCTTCCCCTCGATGATTGTTGCGAGACATCAAAGGGGTTGCTGGGAATTGAAGAGTGGAAAGCGGCTCGGCGTGAAGTCTCCGTCGCTATCGTTCACCGGTTTTACTAGACTTTCGAGTGCTTTTATCTTCCGTCGTTCTCGTTAAAAGCGTTGCATCTAAAATGTTGCAGTGTAACTTTTACTGTTCACCCCTTTTGTCGGTTTGTATGATTTCGGGCGGATTGTTTTTAATACTTCCGTATATTGTGTCGCGGTGAACTTAATTTAACTTTATGTGTCCTTGATTCACCTGTACGGTAAGTTTCCAAGCACCAATTGCGTTTCATGGCTGAGGAATTTACTGCTTTTGCTCCGACAAGGTTTGTGGATACGCAGGATGAAATCTAATTAGAGATTTTGCTCGCTATCCGACATTCTGTTGTTATGATGTAATTCACCAGGGAGAGCTAAACTGATATTTGGTTCGTTGAACGATGCAGTGAGTCGAAATATTTCGTTAAAAAGGGAAGATTTATTGTTACATGATACTATTAGTAACATCTATTAGTGCAGTTTTGACTTTTATTGGATGTTCGAATTGAGAAAAAAAGGAAAGGTTATAATACAGACTGGAATAGGATAATATTACAAGAGCATTGTCTATAAAAATATTATTACTCTACTACATATCCGTGGTGCAATACAAATTTTTTCAGAGTGGTTAATCGCCCCCTTCTTTATACGTAAGCATTGTCGGAGAAACTGTTCTATTAGGTCTGCATTCTTCCATTTCTCTGTGATTTGTTTGCGAATCGACTTTCTTCCTCGATTCATTCGACAATTCGTTCCTAGTATCTAAGTAGACTATTTCAATGATCAGCCTTTTTGGCGACAGGGGCTTTTAAGTTCACGTGTAAACAGCATACGATTCCTTTTGTGGAAATAAGCTGAGTAAAATTTGGTGTATACGATAGAATAAATATTATAAAACTCTGTTACACGAACAGCCTCTATTAACAAAACGCATACATTTTCAACGATTTATGACTTTAAAACCAAAATAAAATGTGTCTGGCTACGTACAGCCTTTTGCACTGTGGCAGTCGATGTGTTAATATTTTTGCTCCCCCATGACTGATAACCCGGCTACGCCCATGGTTAAATTGTGTAACTACATTCTTCAATCTGTAGAAATTCAGAAATCACAAGAAACCCCATTGGAAATATAGATCGGACGTTTGCACGACTTCACAGCTTCGTAATGCCCTGACATGGTTGATATCAACTCTCGAGTCGCATTGTAAGCCACCATTGTAAGTTGCCCCGCGACGCGGTAATATCGCCGTTTGTAGATCCGGAATACAATGTGTAATATATCTATGTAGAAGAACGTGTAGGAGTATATTGTTCGTGTGTATCGTCGGCCGTGTTAAATGTGATTATTCGTCGCCCCAGCGGATCGGGGTCTGTTATGTACGAGCATTCCGATCCTCGAGCCTCAAGATTCTCCACTCGTTTCTCTTCACCACCTTGAACACTTTTCTTCCTTCATTTTCTTCCTCGCCGCCGCCGTCAGCGCCCCTTTTCTTACATTTCGCCTTTCGTCTTTTTTTTTTCTCTTCTTTTTTGCCCCGTCCTTGTTCACGAAGCAGCACGCTTTGAGAATCCACTCAGCAGCGACAGTTTCATTCTGAAGATTGGCGGCCAATGGCGCGTAAACTTACGAGAAAGCAGCAGCACCGCGAACCGTGGTGAGGGATTCGTGGCCATGGTCCGGGGTGCTATTCACGTTGAAAGGTGCGAGAAACTGACCGTCCGATGTTTATTCGCCGGTGCTTCGTCTCAGCCGCCGTAACAACGTTTCCCAGACGTTATTCTTGGAACAGGAACCCTTCATCAATTTCCTCCGTGGTTCTGGGCCAGGTTTTACTTGTTGTAACTCTCGTAGGAGAAAAGGCTTGGATACCTACGCGGTCGTGTCAACGCGTGTGTCTCCCATTCCGTAAATCGTACAACCTTTTTCCTTTTTTTTTTTATTATTCCAGTTTCCAGTCTGCTTCTTTAAGACGCAAGAAAATAAAACGGCCGTTCCTCTATAACCGCCGCGTGTCGATTATTCAGAGTTCGTTGTTCGGCCAAAGGAGACGGCGCAATTACGGAATTTCAATATTTTCGTTCGGAACGAAATTGCCCTCTAGGAAGCCGGGGATTCGTTCACCGGATAGATTTTATTCAAGCGGGGGTATAATAGATTGCGGACGAATTTCATGAATAAAGTTTTTACTTTAATCATAAGAGTACCTTTATTTTCCCCGGTTTCCTTCTCTTCTTTCCGCGGGAATTTCTTCCCAATGGAGAAGAGAAAGAGGGTAGAAATGGATCCATTCTAGAGATTCGCTGGAATTGAAAGCCGTGGGGTTATCATCTGTTTCTCTTACCTTTCTCTCGGCTCTCTTTTCTGCGGACCATGATTCGAACGGCTGGCTTCATTCGTTCGATCTTTTGTATTTTCTTTCTCTTCGTCTTCTCTTTTCTTTTTTTTTTTGAAGGGGGTTCGTCTCGCTACTGACCTCGGTTCTTAAATTTTATATTTCTTGCCAGACCCTTGTTTGTCACCCTCGTGGCGGGGAAACGATGCGTTAAACGAATATCGATGGTATTGGAGGGTACCTGGCCAGGGCGATAATGGACTCAATTTCGCGGCAGTAGGACGCCAGTCGTTTGGATTTCTCACGTCCCGACACTCTATCGATTCCCCCGGTGAAGCCCTCAGTGATTTCCTGGTCGTCTACCATTGTGGAATCGTCATATCTTTCGACGCTGCCTCGATCCTCCAATAGAGGTTACAAACACTCGCGTTTCTTGCCGTGTTCTGGC